TAAGTCGCTTAGAAATAACAGTCAATAGGTAAATGATAAAAGTTGCTTCTGGTTAATGATCTAGAGATCACATAAAAAGAATTGGGTTGGCTATGTGACGGCGTAGCTAATTTAAACATTCAATCAGACATAAAGTTGAATATGGCGCAAAATTTCACTTTATTTTGCACGAACCTTTAAAAAACATACTTTGTTACCAGTTTCATTATTTTTCATCAATTTTGTATGGCGCGAGTCGTTGTTAGAAACACACAAAGCACATAACGTTTTAACGATCGTTTCTATCCACACTATTCAGTATTCACATTTTCTTAAGTCGATTATGATTGATTATAGAAGCTAGCAACTATATAACTAACAGAATAACTGCCATTTATAACAAAATTAAAAAAGATATTTGTATTATAACATTGCCAAAAGAATACCTGAAATTTTTCTAGCAAAAACAGTCCACGCTATATAAGAATATATGATAGAGCTGTGACAATGTACGCAATGTTTACAGTTTGTACCACGTGACGTACGAAAATATAAGTAGCGAAAGTGGTGAATTCCAATCAAACCCATAAAACCATGTAATATAGATTGCAAAAATACACTTTGAGATATTTCTTGATTTTAATTAGTGGATTGCAGTGCAGTTTATCTGTAATCATAAAATAACAGATAGGATTTTTAGATTTGTTTATATGTAAATAATACTACTCATCGATCCATTTGTGATAAAGCACAGAAAATTGTAGTTTTGTACATCAATTTTCGGAGCAGAGTCGAGACCAAGTAATTGTTAAGTGTCAGTCGTCTGAATTAAGAATAAAGTTGTTCGAAAGTAATTAGATTCAAAACTAGAGGATGTACAACAAAACGATAGATGCAATCAAAGCTACCGACTTTCAAGACAAAACAATTAAAACGCCTTTTATTTATATCACATTCCCAGTCAATGTAAACAATTTATTCTACGTACCTTCCTATACTGTATCATATTTCGTAACACTAATCATTTCGTACTGAAGATGGCATTTCGTTAATGTAGAAACATGTTTGCTTTTAAAAAATCATCGTTTTTTTAAATATTTTTTAAACTTTCTGCTACTCAGAAACTATGGTAAAAGTTTCATACTTATGCCATTGCATGCATTTCGTAAAAAAACAGTTTAAAATTCGATATTTCATTATTGACATTATTTATCTGACCTCTGTTGTGATGTATGCTCATTGCTCCACGTCATTTTAAAATTTGAAAACTATGCGTAAAATGTATACAATTTGAAACAAAATGTCTTTCTAGTGTGGAAACATTGCTTCTATAGCAAGCAACAAATACAAATACTTTATTTTTCAAATTATGCATTTTTTTTAGTTCGAATGTTTAAAAGCCATTCGTCATATAGCCATATTTATTTCTCATAAAAATGCAGAATATATGACTTCCTCACACACAAATGTAAAATTTCAGCAGTAAATGATTGCATGTTTCTCTTTATGTTGCTCTACCCATAAATCATCTCGAGAAAATAGGCAACAACACATCAAACCATAAAGGTTCCACTTGTCCTCTTTTAGTGGATCTCCTTGGTTTTCCTCTGTACACATCACTCACTGACACCTCCTCTGCCCTCTACTAACATACTCTACTTTACCTTCACATATAAATCGGTATGTTGTGTTTTGTCATACCACTTGGACACTCGTCATTTTGCTTACGTTGAATAGTTTACCCGATGTTTGCATTCAATTACTTATTATTTGTGAGTAACAAGGCATGAGTTTTACTTGCCGTCAATATTAGGGCTGCGACGCTTACTACTGGCTTCACTTGTTTCTTCATAAAGTCTTGAAGAAGACGCTTCCATTTCATGCAAGATCTGTCAAATCAAAAAATGGTTAATGAAGCAAAAATAAATATTAGAATATCACTAGTCAAGCGTCAAATTAAGACCTTGTGAAAATTTTTGCGACTTATGCAATATAGTAAAAAGCCGTTTCACGTGAATCACATTCAATGATTTGTTAGATAAAAATGAGCATGCACCACTCTTATTGACCTTCAAAATCAGGTTTTTCACCATCTATATATCATTTTCGTCACTGTTTATCCCCAGTTTCAACTGCAATTCTTTGAAAGACATAAAGTCAGTATATTTAGGGATGAGTTAAACAAAAACAATTAAATGCATAAGAGTTGCTGCAATTTCCCAATGTACAATGAATTTCGATAGTAAATGTGCATTTTGGACGAAAAGGAGAGCAAACAAAAAATAATGAATTAAAATTTTACTCATTTATCCAAACATATCTGATGCGATAAGAAGCAAGCTGACCTGAAGTTAATAAAAAGTTCTGCTTATTGTGAGCTGTGTATAAAACCTTGTACGTATGATTTGAGCGTATTAAAGTTAAAGTTTTCCGAAAATATTTCTATTGTCTAAATTATTCTTGTGGAAGTTATAAAGATTTGTTAGCATCAAGTTTAATGTTTGGTTGTATCTTTTAGGTATATTTAACTACAAGCTGTTTCTGGTAATCTGAATTGATTCGTAAGGTGGCAAAAGTTGAGTTTATCAAAATCACAAGTCAAAACGATTCCACACCCAGAATGCAAAAATGTTCATTGCTGTAATTGAATTGAATAACTAGTTTATAATTAGTTAATCGGTCTAATTCTAAATAGAAGAGCCTCAAACATAGCAGAATTATATTAGAATTTCTGCTGTATAAAACCATGTGGTCCAAAAGCTCTGTTTTACAAATCAGAAATCAAAGTTTTCAGTTTTTTATTTAATGCTATGAATTCGCATGTATCACCTTAGCGTTAACAGCTCGACGAAAGATAATTGCAACGTCACAAAACGACTACATGTTTACAAAAAAGGACTAAATATTTAAAATATTCAACGATGGCATGCATGAGTCTATTTGCAATTTCAAACTAAATTTTCTTCCTGATTCATAAATGTCATTTCATACTATCACAAGTATAATGAAAAAACACATATTTTATAAATATACCGTCCGGATCCTAAGATAAATATAATTACATGCTAGCAAGCAATTTGAATTCCTTAGCAAGCAAGCACATCATGATAAACACGCCTTACTTCAGATGACAGTGATTTTTTGGTAAGCAAATTGTAAGCAATTTGCAACTTTGTTTAATTGGTATACAACAACAGGATCACAAGTTGCTACGGGTACCTATGATGTACATTTATAGTACTAGGTTGAGACTAATATTTATTAAAATTGTATTAATTATTTTTGACGAACAACTTTTATTTAAGATCTCATTTGTACATCGTTTACACACACAAAAATTCTTTGTGTTTTGTCTTACAAACCTTTTACTGGTCGACGGTTGAAGCTTTGAACATTCGATATTTCAGATTTCTTGACGTTCTGATAAGTTAAGCGTCAAATGGCTTCGTCCTTTGAGTTGATACGTGGCAAATTATCTTGTGCAACTGAATTTAAAACATTTAAAGATAATTGCTATGTAAAAGCAAAGATACGCCTTATGACTTTTGTTGTTTTTCTTTATAAGTTTGAATTTAAGTTGAATTCATCAATAGAAATGAGAAGTGTAAATTATATTACATTATACCATTTTCAAGGTACTTTGGGAGCGATTGGTAAAAACTACAGCTCGATATGTCACTTTTATTTTTATACTAGTGGTACTCTTGCCTGTTGAATAACACAATATCATTGCACATATATATGTCATGAACGTCTAAATTGTGCTTGTTGAAATCTTTAGTATAAATGGTTTATTGATAAACATTTAAAAAAGCTACATTTCCAAAATAATAACGTTGGTAAAAGGCAAACACTACTTTTTACAAACATAAATTAAATTATAATTAAACACATCAAGATAAACACGCCATATTTTAGATGAATGGCAGTTTTTTGGTAAGCAGTTAATATGTTTTTATTTGTAACTTGGTTTGATTTGTTACACACACAATAATTCTTTATCTTTAGTCTTACAAACCTTTTACTAGTTGTAGGCTCAAAACTTTGAACATTCGATCCTTCAAATCACTTAACGTTCTCAAAAGTTAAGCGTCAAATGGTTGCGTCCTTTGAGTTGATACGTGACCAATTATTTTGTGCAACTGAATTTAAAACATTAAAAGTTTATTGTTATGTAAAGCAAAGATACGGCTTAATGATTTTTATTGTTTTAATTAACATGTTTGAATATTATTACCGTTTCCTTGGTATTTTGGGAGTTTGTTAAAAAACCTTAGCTCCATAATTAAGAGTTGATCTTATACATGAAAATTCACAATATCAGATTGTGGAACTTTTGTTTCATTTGCTTGTTTAAGTTGAATAAAACAAAATAGGCGTTCGTTGGCTTAAATGTTGGAAAAGTAAATCTCACGCCTTGATAAGATAACAATACATAATATTCTGATAAATTAAATGAAGGAAAGCTGATATAGAATTCTTATTGTAGAAACTATAAAGATTTGTTAAGATCATGTCCGATGTTTGTTGTATCATTTAGGTATATTTCAAGCTGTTTCTGGTAATCAGAATTGATCCGTAAGATGGCAAAAGTTAAGTTTATTAAAAGCACAATTCAAACGACTTCACACCAAGAATATAAAAATATCCATTGCTGTAATTGAATTAACTAATTAGTTTATAACTAGTTGATTGGCATAATTTTAACCCAAAAAACCTCGAACGTGGTCGAACTAAAGTAGTCAAGAACTGTAAACTGAATAAATTTTTTTATATGTAGACATATACAACACCTCCATGTGGTCCAAAAAAGCTTTGTTTTTATAAACAATGTTGTACTCAGATATCTCAAGATTACAAATATCATGTAAGCTATGTTTCTGCGATGAACACTACATCGGGTTTCTTGCTTGGCACGAAAATCGCGAATTATTTTGAGCTTTTGTTTTTAAATGTGAAGCCTAATTATATATGCAAAGTGCACTTCCGGTTACCCACTAGAGATACAAACTACTATAAAAATGTATGTCGGATAACGTTTACAAACAAGGATTTTCGAATATTTAAGATATTTGGCAACGTTTTACTTATCTCAAATATCTGTCATGGATAATTAAAGTTATTTAAATCAATTTGGCATCAAAATTATTTCGATACCTGTAAAATATCGGCGTTCGTGTTCATTTGAAGATCGCTCGTGCAAGAATCGAATTTGCCTCATAGTGGCCAAGGCAAGATAATTCACAGCTCGCTTTCCAAGTTTAGAGGCAGTTATGATCTAGAATATGTTTCAATGCTTAAAATTGTGGTGAGTACCTTTATTTTATCATTCTTTATAATCTAGAGATTGTCGTATGTTACTTTTGCCGTGACTTTATGAGTCCAGGTATATTGGTGTAGGAACAAACAAATTTACTAAGCTTAGTTTATTCTTAGTTTTAATTTCTATTTTTATTTTATAAAGATAATATTATCACTACACCTTGTTACAGCATTTGGATATGGTATTCATCAGTACGTATGGTTGTTATTGTCATAACATGCAGGGGCGGATCTAGGGTATGTCAAATCAGTCACGCGACTGATGTTTATAGTTCAAAAATTACTTATCAAATTTAATGATTACAATTTTTTGTGATCATTGAATTCTCGATGTATAATCGTATGAATTTCATTGTCAAAATTCTGTTTTATATCTAAAATCTTACGTAAATATCACGTTTTAGCATATCTGGAATTATATTAACTGACTGACTGATAAGCGGTGATCAATGATTAATATTTTTTAACATGGGGTTATGTGATTATGTGATTTACAAAATGTTTTTGATTAAGAGTCACGTAGCCTTAAACCTTAAAATAGTTGTACTTTCTATTGCAAATCACAGCAGTTTTTAAACAGTGATATAATTTTACATAGAGGTAATTGAATGTTTATTCATAACAATGCATGGTTGCTTTATAATACTAGTAAGTATCATTTGTCCAATTATTGCATTCAAGACAATATGTGTTTTACAACCCACTTTTTTATCTCTTAGATTAGTTTATTAACTTAGCCTATTTCTTTAGTAAGCTTGCAATGTCAGTTAAATTGTTTTTATTTAGAACATTTTCCATTTGCTGTTGTTAGCAAGTAAACTATAATGTTATACTTAAAATTTTAGGGTTATGTATAAATTAGGTATGATACATGCATGTAAAGAAGAGAATAAGTTACAAATGGTTGAGGAGACATATAAGTTACCATGACCTGTGAATGAGACTCATCATTTTTTATCAAAACATTTTGCTAAATGTTGTGATCACCAGCACTTAGGGGAATGGGTTGTAACATTAGGATATGTTTAAATCAATCAAAATAGAGTGAAAGTTACATTTTATTATTTATTTTAGTTCATATCATAATGAAATGTGACAAGACGAAATACAGAAAAAACTGGACTTTTGCTAATAGAGCTTCAAGCTGTAGTAATCTGTTCAAAAATATTTTAGACATGATCGTGAACATTCATAAACTTTACAAAAATTAGCTCGAACCATTACCAGTCCTAAACAAAGTTCTTTCTCTTTGCAAGTTGGTCTTAATGATTGTGATATTGGGGAAAATGACCGTGCTGTTTCTGGTGAAGTTGATTCTTTAGATGTTTCTTTTTGCCATGGAAAAGCTAATTCTTTGGTCCATGGGAATGCAGACATTGGGGAAAGGCATTTTTCTGATTCTTCTGATTTTGAAGATGATAGTTTAAGTGTTTCTTTTCAAGATGGGTTAGTTGATTGGTGAATGAGTACTCAATTAAGCAAAATTTTGTTGATGGTTTGCTTGCTCTTAATAAGGATAATGGTCATCAAAATTTGCCTAGTTGTGCTTGCACTTAGTTGCATACATCAAGATGTATTTCCATTCAGAAAAATCTGGCATGGATTACGTATATTTTTCTTTTGGTGAACAATTGTTAAAGCACTTTCACAAGCATCCTTGTGAAACAGTTAAAAACATTAATCATCTTGAGGCTTCCTTTGTTTAGAAGATTTCTGCAAAAAATGTATGGCCACTGTTGTGTGCCATTTTGAATATCAAACCTGTTTTAGTGTTTCCTATTGTTGTAACATGTGGTGACTCTAAGCCAAAAGACTTGGAGTTTTGGATGAGTTTATAGAAAATTTGAAGGGTATTCTAGAAAGGAGTCAGAGATGGGGAAAAGGTTCTGACTGTTACAGTAGGGGCATTGTTTGTGATGCTCCTGCAACAGCCCTTGTTAAAGGTACAAAACTTTATTCTGATTATTTTGGTTGTGACAAGTGTACACAAAAAGGGAAGTGGCTTGGTCAAGTGATTTTCTCTCAAAATAATAATATGGAATTGCGCACTAATATTTCTTTAAGAAAGCAGATACAAGAAGAACATCGTCGCTTTGTTAGCCCTTTCTGTCACTTGCCTGTTGATATGGTAAAACAATTTCCAATTGACTACATGCATCAACTGTGTCTGGGTGTTATGCATAAATTGATTATGGCTTGGATGAGGGGAAATCGCGCTGCTAAATTGTCTGTTGCCCATGTAGAGGCTGTTAGTAGAAACAGGAGTGCAGTTTTTCACATATTGCTACCTTGCATTTAAATCTAATGAGTGATTTTGCTTTTTAGATTTGCTGGTGTACAGCGAGCTGATCTCCCTTGCAGAAAAAGGTATAAGGGCAATTATAATCCTTGTACAAGTATACAATTTTTTGACAGAAGCATGCCTTTATAAACATTCTCTTTCTATACTAATACAATGTTGATCTAGATTTATATAAATGTGAACTAGTACCAGAAATTCAAAACACATAGGATCATGCAATAACTTCCCCATCTACTAGTAGGACACCATCTCAGCGTAGTGGTAAGTTTTCTGTCATCAGAACTGACTAATCAGCAACTTTCATATAATATGTATGTCGACTAGAATGTTGAAATAATTTTGATTGATTCTTTTTAAATAACTTTAACATTTGTATTGTACATTTACTGTTTTTCTACGTCCATCGTTGCATTATAGGGCTTCTGTATGTTCTACAGGTGCTGTAGGCGTTGGTCCTTTAAAATATTGTTGTAGTAAGTTGAAAAAATGTTAGTTATAGTTAAAATTACAGTTGTGTTCACCACGATTTGATGCGAGTTTTATTTGAATTTTCTTTTCAGCAAGTTGTAAGGTTTATATTTTTAAGATATTACGTAGGTTATACATAAGTTATTCTATTATTTTCTTATCTATCTTGTAGGCATCCAAAGTTCAGTTCTCACCAAACTGGAAACATTAATTGATAAAAAAGAAGAAGCGTTGTCAATATTGCGTGCTCTGTTAAGGGCTAAGAAAGGTGTAGACGAGCACGAAATTTTTTGAAGATGTTGTACCTAATCCCTTAGATTTGGTTGAAGAACTTGAGGACCTATCCTCTACGTCTTGATGAAGAAGAGTCCAGAAGAAAGTTGGTAAGTTTTGGAAAGTTAACCACCCATACGTATTTAGTAATATTTATTGGCACTGCCTATTTTTTATGCATGACTCTTTCAAGTGTTACGTAAAAAAATGTGACAAAGGAAGGCATAGCTCTTCACCTTTATTGGTTTGGAAACGTGAAAACGATTGTTTCATTTGCAATTACGTAACATAATATTGACTTTTTTTCTACCATTTGTGTTTGAAGCTTGAAAACATGCACGTTTGTCAAAGTCTGAAACGTAATTTTAATGACGATTTTCGTGACGTTAGGGGGTCAGATTATCTGATTAAACTATATGAATCTAGCATTGCGTTTTTCGTGAGAGCATTGTCGTTTTGTTATTGATTTATATACGTTACGATATTTCAAACGGCTCTTAGGAGTGTGTCGTTTTATTTGTGCTGAAAAATTTTAACGAAGAAACTATTCTTTCTAAAAGCTCTCACCATTCACTTTGGATGGTTTTATTTTACAATTCGAGATCAAAATGTATATTTATATATGTGTAAATTGAACTTTTCCATATAATTTATTTTTTACTTTCTTTACCAGCTGCAGTTTTTGGTAGCACTGTGCGCAAACACCTGTGCAAACAGTGTTAGAAGAATTATGACAAAGCTAGGAACAAATAATCTATGGTCCCAATATAGTTTAAAAGGCAAAAAGTCAAAGTGACTATTTCAGCACCTTGCCCTCTGCAAAGTTATAACAAGTAAGCACAATCAGACAATAATGATTGCTGCAGCAGTACCATGTTGTGTCTCATTTTTCTCGTTCATGAATTGGAAAAACAGTCATTTATGTTGCTCCTTGTCATAAGGAATATTATTGCAAGTTTTAAAAGCTAATACATTAAACTGTTTTGCATATGTCACTATAATGAATTGTTGTTTATCATTCATCTTACGAAAATGATTTAGTGTTTTATCTATGCAATTTATATAAAGTATGTCTTTTCTGTTTCGTTTCACTTGCTAGAAGCCTGCCTTAAAAGGCATAAAGGATGCAGCCAGGCCAACGTTAAAGAGCAAATCGCCGAATTTTTAAAATATGCTCCAGGCAAGCGAGAGGGTTCCAGATTTAAGGTAACATGTCATTGTCATCATAGATTGCTGGGTAAAGTATATAGATGCCATTTTTTCTTTGTTTGATCTTCTCAACAACTTAGACAGGGAGAACTCAGTGGAACTGAAGTGGAACCAATTCAGAAAGAAACGATCGGACACAATGAACGATCGCAAGTAAATAACAAATTTTTAAGAAATTTTGAGATTTTATAGAGAAACCAGTATTTATCTTTTGTACCCAAGCTAAAAACCGTATCTAAACAAAAGCTTTGAGAAATATCAGGCTGGCAGCACATCAAATTTAAGAGCATGGGAAACACTCAACTCTGATAAGAAAATCTTAGAGACAGTTGGAGAAAAAAATTGAATTTGACACTATTCCTATTCAATGAGCTTTATCCAAAAAATACAACTTTTGGTTTCCAATTCAAATCAGTCCTTATGCGAATATCTGTGACTACAGAACTAGCTGAGAAGATAAAACGCATTTTTCATGACCTGCTACAAGCGTCTCACACAAAAATAAGGGATGTTATACGGGTTTTGGGCACTCTACCTTTAGGTCTCCCGTTGCATTATTGCTGGCTGGTATAGATAAAATCGATGCCCTTAAGTTAAACCGCGGTAAATTTGACGGGACAATGAGCCTGTCTTCAGAGGCCATACATGATTTAAGATGGTGACAGTCATTATTACGCACTACTCACTGGCACTTTATAAGCACAATGATTCTAGCATTTGCCTAAAAACAGATGCCTCGTTGACAAGGTGGTGCTGCTCCATAAATGGTTTATGTGCTTGAGGTAACTGGATGCCCTTGGAGGCTTCCAGCCGTTTAAATTATTTGAAAATTCTTGAGGTATTGTTTGCCCTTGAGTCATTTTCTCTAGAACTAAAAGGTCATCATGTTAAACTAATAATTGATGATACTACCGCTGTAGCTTGCATTAACCAATAGGGCACATGCCACTCAATGTCAGTTCACAACTTGACATTCAAAGTCTGGACATGCTGCACTTCGTATGATATTTGGTTGACATCAACGCACATTCCAGGATTACAAATTGTCACTGCGGATCGAGAATCTCGAATATCACGCAGAGAAACAAAATGGCAGTTGAACAAGACTCTGTTCACGTGTACCATTCAAAAACTAAACGTAACTCCGAACATTGATTTGTTTGCGTCAAGGTTGAATAATTAAGTGAAACCCTATGCTTTATACCAACATGACCTGTATGCTATAGCTGTCAACGCCTTTACGATATCGTGAGCCAATTATACATTTTATGGGTTCCCGCCTTTTAGCATAATTTCGCAAGTGTTACAAACAATAGTACAAGAGAAAAGCACAGGACTAGTCTTAGTCCCTAATTGGCCAACACAATTTGGGGGGCAGCTTTAATGCAGATGCTAATAGCACATCCAGTTGTTTTACAAAACTGGAGTTACTACTTTGCCATTTATTGGGAAACTCCTCTCTGATAAAGGTATTTCTCTAGGGAGCTTCTAAAATATCCAAAAGGCCTGGTGGACCGGTACCAAGAACAATATTCTACATACCTTAACCGTAGGCGACAATATTGCAGTGCAAACAATATCGATCCTGTCGCGTCCTCTGTAGAAGAGGGCACTAATTTTGTTACAAAATTTTACCATGAAGGTTTATCCTACAGCGGTATTAATACTGCAAGGAGCGCCTTGTGTACTATCTTAATGCTACCAAGTGGCATCTCGTTTGTTACACATCCACTCGTTGCTAGGTTTGTTAAAGGTGTATTTGATGCAAGACCAGCTCTTCCTAGATAATGCTACGGTCTGGGATGTTTTAGTGGTATTAAAGCATCTTCGAAAACTCCACCCTCCAAAAAATGTCAATTTGAAATCTCCAACACTAAAACAGTGATGTCCTTAGCTTTATTATTTGTATATAGTAAGTCCAGCTAAAACTGTGGGCTTTTATATCGAATACAGACTTTAATAAAATCGTTTTATTAAAGTCTGTAAATATATCCTTTTTTTGCATGAGGAAGTATCACATGATCATCTTCAGTTTGAGTCAATACAAAATGATGGTTCCAATCAATATCAGTATCCTATGAACTTTTCCCTTTAACTCTAATGGAGCAACTTATCTGTGTCAAAAGCTCTTTTATTTTTAAACGTAAAAAAATGTTTTACTGAGTTTAACAAATTGGTACGAAAGTTTCTAATTTCTAATTCTTAATTTTCTAATCAAGTCTTATGCCGAGCAACTAATTAAGAGGGTTTTTTCTCGGCATTAAGGATTGGAAGGATTTCTTTAAGGAGTCCACACTGTTCTAGTTTTCTATTTCCTTCCAATCACAGGACCCTCGCATTGCGATTAGCTAGTTCAGCGTACTTATGGGTCAGATTTATAATTGTGGTTATCATGAATCAATAAAATCTAAAATTTTCAAAATAACAAATGTGGAACTGGTGGACGTGGCTCCTTACGCTACATTTAATTAGCAAATTTCTTTTTATTTATTTAATTGTACTTACAGAACATAGAAACGGTAGCTCTTCACAGACTCTTTATTTATGTATGGAGTTTTCAGATAAAACTTACAGTAATATAAATTACAAATAAATGGACATCATTTTATGATCTTGCTATATCAAAGCTGCATGTTAAATTGCATTTACAATGCAATGAACATTCTTCAAAATTACTAAAGTATGAAACTGAATAGAATAAAAATCATTTATAAAAATAATAATAATTGGCAAGTAATTACTAAAAATAGCAATAATTGCTTTGCATGATTTCATCAAAGTTCGCGTGCCTCATTTTGGGCTCCCATAACCGGGTTTTGCACACGTAACTCGTCTACCTCGTCCAAACGCTCGCTAGTCCATTGTATAGTAGATGTATTAGCTCTCACTTCACGCTCCAAAATTTCCACTTTTTCAAAGAGATTGACAAAAAAAGTAGGGACTTGGTCAGCCATGCCTTGAATTCGCGCAAATGATTCGTCAATATGGTCGAAACGCTCGTAAAACTGTACCATAATGAATGAATTATCTCTTGCTTGCCGCTCGAGGGTTTCAATCCTTTCACGCATCGAGGAACCATCTACAGACAATTGAGTGTTATTATTATTGCTCCCATAACGACTTTCTAGACTCTCAATTCTCCTTTCTAAGCCTGTAAGTTTTCCAACCAACATCAAAAATTTGTCTGAAAGAATCGCACGAACAGCAGTGATTCGGTCGCCCAGGTTTTGAATAGCAGTGGTAAACTCTGGACGCGGTGTATAGTTACTTAACTGTGTAACAAATGCCATAACATATCGCAACAAGGCGCTCACGTGATCAATTATATTGTCATTCATATGTTGACGGATCTCCTTTCGTTTTAAAGTCTGTGAAAAAAAGAAAAAGATAATGGCAAAGCATTATTTTCCACAAATTAGCGTTACTTGCAACTAACTTCGGTAATTTTAATCTAAATATGATGAAGAACAAATTTTGTTCCCTCTAAGCACTGAAATCATTAAATTAATAAGAATGAACAAACATGCCCCGTTTTCAAACAGAGAACCTATACAAATCAACTTTCTGACAGGTCAAACCTGTTTGATAACAAATAAATAAGTTGTGCAGCTGCTTATAACTGGACGTTACCATAATTTCATTTCTATACTCAAAATATTGGTAACGGTGGTGCTTATCTTTGTTTTGAAGTTCTAAATTTTGGCAATAGTCATAACAAAATAACAAATTTCAAACGCGTGCTCTGATTGGTCGATGCCTTTATGGAAATTTGTCAAGTGTTTGAATGGCCTGGTGAACATTGGCGTAGCCAGGAAAAATATTAACTCCCGCCTACCCGTGTCGCGCCGAATTTGAAAATTTTGAAATCCATAGCCTTGGAAACAACATTTCCTGCGATTTGCAGGGCGAAATATTTCTTGTACAATACGTTATAAAAACATGTTTTTATTAGCTGCATTCTTAATATGGCAATTGTCAAAACTTCAACTAGTTAAAGAGGTACTAAAGGCGGCTCAGTGAAAAGTTACGCAGGAGACAATTGTCCCCTAAAGCACAATGAATCAAACTCATCACTGCCCCTGAATAAACAGAAGAAATTTGGATTAGTACAAAAAATAACATAGTAAACGACACTTCCTAAAATGCATAGGGAGAGATTGTTCTTAGCATTCCACTTCTTAGTTTACACTTGTTTAAATTGGGGCAGGTAGACAGGGACGGCTTTATTCTTTAAAGTAATGCTTAATGTTCTCAATGAAGTACCGTGCATTATAAGAACATCAATTTATAAAGAAAAGCTAGCCTCCTGGGTTTTTCTACAAATTTTTCAACCAACTCATTATGCAACACCTCTGATTCTCTCTTTTGAACTTGCATTGAATAAACGTTATCTCGTTGCTAACATGAAATTATAAAGTAGTCCAAACATTCTTACTTTGTCATAACTGCATCCAATGGCTTGAAATTCACATTTTGTCGGCACTTCATTACAAGTCGTCTTTTCATGGTGTTCAGTATCTTTCTTCGGTATTATTTGATTGCAATATTTACAAATCACGGGATAATATCCACATACATTTTCTTTGTGATCCTACATGTTAAAAGGAAATACAAAGCAACGACAATTTAATGGATGAAGTTTGGTCTCCTTTCTAAAAAGGCGGTCAAAAGAAATTGATAGTGATTGCTAAGCAATAACAAAGACAATAAAGAGATATTTATTACGACACAAAATATTTATCTCAACTTGCTGTGTTCCTGTGATTCATGCACGCACCTTAAGTGAAGCATACGGGACATCTTTACCACAATATTCACATTTTACATTTCGATATTCACATTCATTCTTCAAATGTTCGTCAAGGAGAGAGCGAGGTAGCTGAATGTTACACTGTTTATGTATACAGCTGATGAGCGCATGCTTACAAACTTGAGAATGACCCTAAGGAAAAAACTTTATAAGTGAAAATGCCACACTTTTTTGATAAATTTCTCTGCCCAACTCACCTCCAATTCTTCGTGTGTACCAAACCATTTACACGCTTCAGATGGACAGTGTAATTGAATCCTTTTTAATTCACGCTTCGTGAAAGCATCCAGGAAAACCTAGAGGGATCCATGAAAATTGATCTTTTATGAAACAAGATTAAATGTAGCAAAAGACAGAGTCACTTCACTTCACTCAAATGCAAGTTTGCACTAGACGTTAAATGAAACAGTAACGTAAATTTCTTATAAGAACTGTTGGCAAACTTTTTTGAAGTAGAATTCACCGACGCACTAACGCTAATTGCAAAGGCTCTTAACATGTAGACTCAACAACGAGCTCAACATGTTCAACACCGTGTTTAGGAGAGTTGAGTAGTAGCTATTAAGCGGTGCTAAGCGTTGTTGAGTGAAGTTTGAACTTGCTCAAAATTTCCACTCAACATCACTCAACATTTGTTTTGTTCCATGGTCACCAAACCGCACTTCAACTTTGTTTATAGCGCAATGAAACTTCTGGTTTTTAAAACAGCACACTCAACATGGTGAGCGAAAGCATGCACACTACCTGTGCAGCTTATATTGTTGTTATTTACCTGGTCACTGAACCGTTTATGTACCTGTATATACGCTAATGGTGGAGTATTTTATCTCATGATCCTACGCGATATCATTTGAAGACTCAACATGTTGAGAGCGTTTACACACATCGTTTAGCATCACTCATCAAACACAAAACAATGTTTAGCGCATGTTGAGTCAACATATTGAGAACGTTTGCACGTAGCTTTGATAACCTATGTCACAAGACACGACAATATACGTAAATCGATGTATTATTTTTTAGAACTCAAAGAGTAATTATAATTATAGTTGTTAAGCCAACATGCTTATTTAGTCGTGCTATGCTAATTTTTCTTTGCTCATTAACTGACAACCCTGTAATATGGAAAATATTATGTACTAAAATTTACAAAGCAGGACTAAACTTGCGGGATGGCTGCGCTAATGATCGATAGCAACAAGACTGTAATTGAATTTTCTGTCAAATCTTTGCAATATTTTCACCTACGTTTTCCTTGGTCAAATTTTCTTTATCTTCAGGACATTTTGGATCAGGATTTCTACAGATTGAAAAAAGACAAAAACTACTAACAAGAATGATCAATTTCGTAGAGTGGATAGCGTAACCAGTTCGACAATTAAATAGGGGGGGTGGTGGTCAGTATTTGTACATGAATGTTGTGATAAATTACGTTCCTAGGAAAGCAGCTGTTATTTAGGATTGTAAAAATATGAGTATGATGAGCTCTCCCTAGTCTCCTACGCAACAGTTTTTAACCAAAGTCGTATCAAGAGATCTAATAGGGAGCTTTAGCAGAGCCTACGAGTACGACTACGAGCAGGTTAGCACTATTTTCCACCCAGCAAACCGCCCTTTACTTTACACAATCGGAAAAAATTAAAGATGGCGGCTAATGGGAAAGAACCAAAAGGTAAAAGGAAACCATGCATGCACTGGTGTTTTAGGTCGTTTTGAGATGGCGAGTAATTTTATATTTTTATAATACAGTTTTTAATATCAACATATGAAAATATTTACAGATAAATGTTGCAGTATAAATGCAACCACCTTAAGTTATAAACTTATAATCCAGGCTGGAAAATATGTCGTTTTCGACGATTGTGTATATAAAATATTATATTGTGTAAAATATTAGATTGTGTAAAATATTATATTGTGTAAAATATTATATTTCAAAATAAAGGGCGGTTTGCTGGGTGGAAAATAGTGCTAACCCTACGAGCACGATTTACGTCATTTTGGCGCGAAAACATTGTTGCGACAACAAAAACACGTAGCCGTCATCAATCTGAGTACGATGTTTTATAAAAAATTTGTAGTCGCGACTACGATGTCTTTTTAAGCAAAGAAAGTAGGTATATTTCTTCATTCTGTAAGAAATTAGTTTACAGTACTATTTTCGAGCATCCAGGCTTTAATTTAGAACCCTTTTTGAGCGCAGATGTACATTAAAAAGGAAAATATGACCTGCAAAACTTTCATGTATTTCGTACGGAAAGTGAAAGGTAAACAAACAATAAAATAGTACAAAAATATCGTACTTAAAACTTAAAATAGTGAAGATTTTTCAGTCTAAAGAGTCCTATATTCTCGCAAAACCAGTATTACCGATTCATTGATATCATTAATGACAAATAGAGCCGTAGCTGATTCGCAAACGTCGGTGTTTTACACAATAAAAAGGCTCGTTCTGTTGTTTACAACTAATGCAAAATTTAGACGAAGCGATAACGACAACAACCTTCCTCGTGCCATTCCCTTACACGGTCAAATTTCGTACTCGTTCTCGTAGTCGTACTCTTGCTAAAACTCCCGACTTAATTGAACAAAATGATAAGCAGGAATACTTTGGGAAATGTGATACGATATTGGGATGCATAATCATGGTCTATTGAAAGATCATGTATGATAACTACTATAACTTTTTATGGATGATTTATTACTTAAAAAATGACGTTACCCAAGAATAATGTCCATACAAGATTTACAAAACAAATGTCCACACGAGGTCTGCATTGGATTTATGAGAAGGTGATGACAGTAAGTACAAATATACTTCGCTGGGATTTTTTCTTGATCTTCATCACGGATCTTGATTCCAGGCATCGTTAACAAAGTCAAAATCTGTTTTCAAAGAAAAAAAGTTTAAAACACGTAACTAGCATACCAAAAAATAAACACAAACACCACGTTTCTTTAAATACCGAAGAAAAGAGAAAACCACCTGCAGTTTATTGAAAAATAAAAAAGACGTTTGGGCAAATGCACCTTACGTGATCAGGATTTTAAAATATGTTTAAATGCCTTGATTTTTTTTGCTTTTTCCACTTTCTTAACGCTGTTGTACCAACAATAAGAGCTTTTACTGTCACAGTCAGTGACAGCAGAAGACGTTTTGTATAGAGCGGTGTAGCAAATAACAAGAAACGTCGTAGCAGGCGCTTGGCATTCAGTCTATTAAGCAAAGTTTCAGCTTCATTAGGTCATTATGTGTGAGAGAGACAGAAAGTATGAGAGGCCATTTAAAAGTCAATTGTTTTCCATTATCGAACAGGAACTTATTTAAGAAAAAAAAACATTGAAAAGCTCTTTGTAACAATGAATAATTGAATAATGGAGGGGTCTTGGCACCTCCATCTTAATCATTTTGAGGCTGCAACCTCCATAGCCACCCATCCCCTACCTTTGGTCACAGTTTAAATGGAAAGTCATGGTTTGTTTGATTGTTGGTTGACTGGTTAATACTGGCTATCTTCTGCTATAGTTACATTCAATTATCTTAATTTAACTTTGAGTGACTTTTATGTTAACACTGTACATGATTCATTGACACTCAGCAAAGAAAATTGCCCTTGACAAATGCAAATCACAAAAATCACTAGAAATGACCTGTATGTAAATATTCTGTGGCATTAATGTCCATTTTAAGGATGAACACACGAAACAAATAAATTATGTAATAGCTTTCACCATGATGCCTGTAAATACATGGCATTCAAACATCATTAAATTTAAAGCAAGAAGCTAAAAGTGTAGGTGTTTTTCCTATAATAGATGGACACTCACATTTCAAATGAACATGTTCTCTGTACAGACACCCTGATACCATGGTCATGAATAAAATTTTGTTGCTCACAAATCTGGCCAATGCCAGCATATTTTACGTATGTAGGCTTATGTATGATAGTGGTATGGTGCCTAATCATGCATTCAATTTTTTACAATCTGGGTGATGTTTTATCCCTTCTATTGCAAGATTAACTTGACTTAATAGTATGCATAGAATAGAAAAGGTAACTTACCACTTGAGTCCTGGCCCTGTATCTTACAAGTTTAGTGATTGAGTTAGAACACAGAAGGAATCAATTTTTCTTTGCACCTTAAAAAAAGACACAAAATGTGAAATGTGAAACTGGGGATAAATTTAGTGCATTCACTTCAAGACAGGGATGGATAAAGAATGATTTTAAAGGGGGACATGAGGTGCTTTGATTTCGATAAGACATTTTTCAATGTCATTGTGTCATGATGGGCTTTTATGTTAAATTCTGTTACTTATAGCATAGGTAGCCTAGTGGAAAATATTTTTGAAGTGTGCTCCACAGAACACAAATCATAATTGCTTTTTTCTCAATTCATTTGTGTATTAATACTTTACAGGAAAATTCGTATAACGAGTAGCGAGCGCTCGGAAGAGTGAGAAATTTTGAATTTCAAAGCCTTGGGAATGCCATTTTCAGCATTTTAGAGCAATACAAAATGCTTTGTGTGGACATTGTTTTTTTCAAAAAAAAAACTGTAAAGTGAACAATACTTGAATATTTTGCCAAATGTTAAGGGTCATTAGCATGCTTAGGAGGATAAATCTTACTTTACAACAATTCTATTTCAAAACAGAGATAGTCTTTAAAAATTTCTACCAAATTGTCAGGCATAGACCCCCCTAGTAGCCCCCATTCACACCTCTATGTAATGAGTTAAATTAGAATTGAGGTACTACAAGGGAGAGTTCATAGATGTAAAAAAGCTCAGACTTCAAACCATGCAAGTTTATTGAACCCTTAACCCATTTCCACTTACAGTGGCAGAAAATTAACTTTTTGAGAAAAAAATCAAATTTTTTTTCTGCCAAAGATTAAACAATAAGTATCAGAGAGGAAATTTTGCAATTAAGGACAGTTTAATGCCATTAAAGTTTATGAAGCCTTTCAGTAGACTATTATCTTCTGTAAGTCCATGCAAGTTGTGCTATATAGCAATTACCAGTAGCATTGTACTTGCTAATAAAAACAGAATGTAAACAGCATGTCTTTAAACATGTAATTACATAAATGTTAAAATTGGTTCATTTGTCAAGCTTACTGGTTATGATAAATATCTTTTCATAGAATCAAAACTAGTTAAAATGTAAATCTAAAATAATTTAGTTTAAAAATTATAATGATCATCAGAAAAATTACCTAGTGATCATGAAAAATACTTGGCTGTTTTGCCAAATTTCAAGGCTTATCTGCATACCTAGGAACACATCATGGCAAACAATCGAATATGAGCCGTAGATCAACACACCTTGACATCTCTACATGAGGTGTTCAGTTAGAAAAGGGGACAATATGTGACATGGGACAACATTTCATGTATGTGAAATAGCTCAGGTTTAATACTATCCCAGTCAAATTGTCAAAATAAAAAACTTCATGGATCTGAAAGAGTCATAATCACAGGTTATAGTAAACAGTCTATCATGTAATCAATATTAGTTTTCTCAAATCTTAAACAATGTGTAGTATAATTGTCCAATGATTGAATAATCAATGATCATAAACTGAAAAGCCCAAAACATTTGTTTATAATAAGGTATATAATACCATGACACCTTATGGCTACAGATTTTTTGTCCATTGAAATATATTTGCAGGAATGTAGGATTTCGCTGCCATAACGGCCAAGATTCCCCAAGCACTAAAGAAATCATAGCTAAAAGTCCTTCGGCAACAACAATTTTAGAAGCATTAATCTGCTTACCATACGCCATATTACGGTGGCCCATAAGGGACACAATACTTCCATGCAAAATATTATGTTTTTCATTGAACATTTAATATTTCCACGCAAAATACTATGTTTTCCATGGAACATTTCATATTTCCGTGCAAAATACTATGTTTTCCATGGAACATTTAATATTTCCGTGCAAAATACTATGTTTTCCATGGAACATTGTTGCTTCGCCGTACAATATTGCTTGTTTTCCGTGCAACGTTCAAACTTGTGCGCGCGCATGAATTGAATATAATGCAGTTGCTTGAAGTTTCGAGGAAATCTATTTGGTAAATCTAATCATTGAATCTCATAAAACACGAGTCTGAAAGTGGAATTTTTATAGCAAAATGTTCTGCCAAAGTTGTGGAACAAAGCTTTTGGATAAAGCCAAATTTTGCCACAACTGTGGATTTTGTGCATTATCAGATGTCGGTAAGTACACAACCCTATAGTTTATAAAATACAAGTGCACAAACGTTCGTTCAATTGTAAAATGGAAGTTGTTCATTCTACTTTTTATTTATTTAAAATCTTCTTATCTATCCCTATTCTTCTCATATGTTTTCTCATATTTTTGGCTGTTGTATTATTTTCTTAAACGATATATTTCAAACTGTTTTTAAACACAGAAATAGGCTCAAAACCTCTAAGCAAGACCATTGGAGTAAAGCCCCTTTCATTTGAAGAGTTTCGTAAGAAGAAAGAGGAAGACAGATCATCAAAATTTAAGCCAAAACCTGGTGGAAAAAAAGCAAAGTTGTCAAAAGAGGTGAAGGTGCAGGTTGGCATTGTGAAAGACAAAAATGGAGATGGTGTATTGGTAAGAGTGAAGTCAAGGACAATAACAATTGCAGTTGTTGAAGATGTTGATGGAAATGCTCTTCTTGAAAAAGCAATTGATAAACATTCAAGACATCATAAACAATTTAACAAGTATAACAAATATGTTCTTTTGTATAATGACATGTCAATTGTGAGGTATTTACCCCAGACCAACATACCATTTGTGCTTTCAAAATATAAAGAAGATTTGTTGCTGCCATAGTCCAAAATGTATTTCTGGCTATGTACAGAAGATGATTTTGAAAATTCAATTTCTGATGAAAGTTCTGACAAGGAACTTGAAGAGATTTCGATGAAGTATCATGAGTCTCAACCTTCTACATCAAAGTCATTGGCCACAACAGGCTGTGGGGATTTCAATGAAGATGCAAGTAATAAAATCCTCCAATCCTCTTCTTTGTCTTCTCAAAGTTCATTTACCTCAACGTCTCAAGTTTGTAGTATGTCACAAGGACAATTGTCTCAGCATGGAATAGAAAAATATCTATTGCAACATCAATGCCCTACATGTCTTGGATACTATTCACATGCAGACATAGAGGCTCATGCAGACATGTGTGCAGAAAGGTGGATAGACCCAATTGGCAAGTTATCAGATGACAATCAAAATAACCTGGAAAACACACTCATTGCTGAAGAGGAAACTGGACAGCCAACTGTTGCCACTATGCAAGAAGTGGTTCATCTAATTCAGGACAATGTTAACAGATTGTCTACCAACAGAGTTACTATTCGTAGGCGATTAGCTTTTGCAGATTATGTGGATGCATGGAAACGAAAATGGTTTGCTGAAGGAGGAAATCTTAAAATTTGTTTTGCTGGTGAACCTTCTATTGATGGTGGTGGCCCAAGGAGGGAGTTTTTCACAGGTGAGAAAATCAGTGAAGATTTTTTTCAATTCATACTGTACAACTGTGCAAAGAAACCAATATGTTGTAATTTGAATATTTGTTTTTATACCTTGTTTAATGCTAAGTCTGTTTCATTGTATTGACAGATGTCCTACAACACATTAAGCCAACTTTGTTTGATGCAAATGGTTATCCACTGTTTAGTGCACGAGCACTAGCAAATAAAGACTTCATGGTTGCTGGTGAGTTAATATCATCCTCTCTGGCACAGGGAGGACCAGCCCCATGCTTCTTGCTAAAGAATGTATTTAATTATGTGGCTGAAGGGGTAAATAGCATACAGGCCAACAACTGGTTGGAGTTGGTTCATAATGCTAATTTCAAAGATGAAATTGATAAGGTAAAAAATATGCACTCATTGAGAAAAGCAAGCAAATTTCACTTTAAAATATCTCAAAGCTGCGCTTAAAGAATAGAAAAAATTAACTCTCATTTGTTCTACTTATTACCATAGCATTCTTAATTGCATTCAGTTAGTTAAATGTGAGAGTGATGAGGAGCTGAGGACATTGCTTTGCTCAGATGACATGATGAACATTCTGCAATCAATCGGCTACAGGGGTGTTCCCTCCAAGGAGAAATTGGCCTCACGAGACAACATTATTCGGTATAAAACCATGGTCATGTTTTCATACATACAGTTCAATCTACATTGTTCATCTTTTTTGACACATCAATATCTTTTGTTGTAGGTCGATTATAATTGCAGGAATTGGCCATATGCTGGCAATGATGGACAAATTAAAAACTTGTCTTACACTTTTTGGGGTTCTGCAGCATATTCAACATCACCAGGAGATAATGGCATCAATGCTTACACTGGATGGTGTTGCTAATTTTTGCTTGACTGCAGACATTGTTCTTGAAAATATGACTGTGGAGTTTAGCCCGGAAGGAAGCAACAAAAAGCAATTGGAAATAAATGTCCGCAAATTTTTTTGTGACTATATTCAAGAATTGGACACAAAAGGTGAATGAGAGATAAATGCAATTGTACCTACTTTAATGGCTTTTGACTGTCTTAAACACTTTTCCTTTATAGACACTAGCACATCATTAAAAACGCTGTACAGATTCATCACTGGGAGCAGAAAAGCACATCACTGTCAAATTTAAGCATGGCTGCCCTGCGAATTGTAAATGCCGTCCATCTGCTGCTACATGTGACCCAAGTATCTGCTTTCCAATTCACTTTGATAATACTAATGATTTTGACTTAGCGATGGACAATGCCTTACTGGAGTATTCGGGATTTGGTTTTATATGAACTTGAAAACAAAGTCCTTCAATGTACATATGATATTGTTCTGTTGTCAAAAGAATACTTTTTGCAAACTTCTTAAGTACTGCATATTAACTACACATAACTCATCAAATTATCAAAATATTTGTAGCATCATTATAGTCTTCTGGAAACTCTAGTTGTTGAATGTCCACTAAGTAATTAAAATAGTCTTGGAATATTTTCCCATTTTCAGTTTCTTGCTGTGCAATTCTCATTTCAACTTCCTGCAGCTTCTCATCAGGGACTTGGACTAGACAATCAAAGCCTCCATATTGCTCTGGGATGGAAAACAATATATCAGGTACTCCAGAGACAGTTTCATGTCTTGACGGTCTTATATGATGTGTATTCCAATATAATTGCACTTCATCAAGAGAACTTTGAAAGGCAAACCATAAACATTGTTTAACATTGTCATCACACAAGTTCAGCTGCCTTTGCTGAACAAAGTCTTTAAAAAACTGGATCCACCAACTTGTACATGACTTTTTAAGATGTGACCACCAGTTTTCAATTCTCTGATTATGGGTAGATGTCCCGAATGTATGAGCTTGTTCTCCTTCCATTGGCCAACTATCATTGGCTCGAAAATAGCATTGAGCAGCAGAAATCACACCATTTTCAGTACCACAATCAGATCTTATTTGAAGTGGACAACCTCTGTATCTTCTGACAGCATCCAAGTAGAGCTGTGCAACTGATTCAGGAGCATTGTTTGACTTTACCACTTCCAACCATAAAACCTTCCGGCTGAAGCCATCAACAGCACCATGGATAGGAAAACCAAATGGCTTCAATTTATCATATCCTGTTGGTAGTCACTTATAATTCATATGCTAAATTATGTCACTGAAGTAGATATATAAACAAATTTTACATGAAAAAACATACCATCAATATGCCAGCATTGATTTGGACCTTGAGAAATATACTGCCTTTGAAGCCTTTTCCTTCTTCTTCTAATACTTGCCTCTGGGTCAAGTTGTCTTAGAATTGTCGCAACAAGTTTCCGGGGAACGTGCACATGATGTTGAATTCGAAGAATGTGCCACATCTTCCGATAACCGGCTAATGAACCTCCAGCAGCTTGCATTTCTTGCCTGAGAAGGGTTCTCACATTGTCCTCAGATATGTTTTCATTTCGACGAGACAAATGATATGATTTCAAACGTCTTTTGAGAGTACGAACAGTCATTTCAATACCATGTTTCTTCATCAGCAAACAAACAATGAGGTCGTATTTATATCCAGCATGAAAATAATTTTCAATAATTTCTCGTTCATTCTCTGTTGTTAACAAAATTATATCGCATTTAAGGCCACATGTGAATAATAAATCCCTTAAATACCCGGGGTGACATATATGTCACATGTTTATTATGGGAACGTCCTTGTTTTAAAATATTTATTTTCTTTCTTTAATACCCATTGTGACATATATGGCACTCTTGGCCGCCATATTAAATCATTAAACTCAATAAACGGGGGGGACAAACCATTGAGCTCTATAAGACCTGGAGGGGCAAAGGGGCCTGGGCCTCGTGGTCAAAAACATGGCGGTAATGGCGGATTTTGGTGGTCAAAACTTCCACTTTAAAAATTTTTTTCAATATTCACTCCCTCCTGATTTCTAATACTGTTTATGTTAAACGAAAACAAGTGAGAAAAAAAAACGATTACGATACCGACAGCATATCATGTGAAAATAATGCTTCAGCATTGCGTGAAAAACACAGTACACACACACATCAAAATAAAGAAAATCGACGGTAGAGAAACGAATATTTTGGCTGTAACATTTAAGTTATTTTATGACATTTTAACCTTTTAAAAGTGAAAATCAAACGGCAATCTTTACTAGACCTGTCAATCTCGTCAAACTTATACATTATTTCATGCTTTTGTGTGTTTGACTGTTTGTAAACAGTTTGGTGCACCTATTTTTCTTGCTTCAAATGGATAAATCTGTGTAAAAAATGCTCCTAAGGAAGCGAGAAAATGTTTGCTTCAGCCTACGACATAAGTCAACTGAAAATTTACCATGGATAAGTATCATAAGTGTATTGTCATTACCTGATAATCTACTGAAAACTCATAAAGAAAGTATGTTGAACTAGAACAGCTACAAATATGAGAAAAAAAATTCAAAACACCATGACACTGTTGCTTGGTAATTTGTATTTTATAAACAGCTTGGCAGAATCTTGGATCTATTACTGAACAGAACTACATTAATTTTCCATTGAAATTACAAACTTGGAAACTAAAGTGCATTGGTTTCTCTGACAAAAACACTGTCTATTGCTGCATGAAGGCAAAATAGTTATTTGACAGTGTAGCTGAAGAAATTTATCAAGTTCTATAGATATTATTGTGCATTACTTACAGTTTTTTGGAATTGTGTAATATATGTCATGAACAAGATATAATTTTTCAAAAATTCTAACCCCTTCGAGCACTACTACTCTTCTGTTTTGCTTAAACAACTTACAGCTACCAATACTAATTATTTATATGTACATACTAACATTTGGGAATTTAATAATAAACAACTTGTTAAATCTTTGTATTTTACATCAAGCCTTTGAATTAGTTCCTTTTATCTCTTGGTAAAAAAATATTAATGAAAGACTTACAAATCAAGTTTCCTGAAAATAGTATTTTGTACAAAGAAACTAAATAATTGGAAAGGTCACATGTTGAAGACAGACTTTGCTTCTTTGACTAGGTTGCTTGACCATGAGCAAATTTAAATTTGTTTACAATTTGCTCAAAGAATTCTTTTTATTGATTTCTACTAATTCTTCATAAGACACAAAGAATTTCTTTGCCATCTATTTTTGCTTCTTCTACATTCAACTTTGTAACCAATGCATCTGATGTGAATTTGTGGATCACCTGGAATCATACCAAGTATGGATTTAATGAGATGAGATAATAATATGTTTAATTTTTCATGCATATTAATGATATAATCATAAGCTATTGTTGAACAAAAATTTCAAGGTAGAAACAAATCTTAGCACATTGTTCAACACACTACTTTTATCTTGGTTTTGAAGTAGTAACCTGTTTACTATAACAATAAATACTTCATTTACAGAAACGCTAAGTAGTACTTTAAAATTGTTTGCATAAATCCAACTTTCCAATCCCATTATAATTGTCTACACTACACAGTCAGTCAAATTGAGCAGGCAAACAGTTTAATAGTTATTTTATTATACAACATATACCATAGTTCTCATTAATTTTGCATGGCACTGCATTCAATTTCAACACAACTCTGTTGTAAACTTTCCTTCATCTTTTCAAAAAACATGAACAAATTATGCCCCATTTTTGGGAGGTAAACTCAATTCAAATCAGGAGAGTTTAGCTTGATGCCTTGATCATGATACAAGATGGATGCAAAACTCGATAAAAATTGACAGCTTCGCCACGTCTGGCGAGCGATTAAGTGAAGAACAAACAAGACTGGACCAAAATAACTTTAAATTAAAACTTAGTAGTAGAAACACTCTTCAAGTATCGTGTTAAAAACAAAATAGTAAAACTAATACTGTGCTACTTACCGGAGTCAAGAAATGTTCCTTTTCTGTCGCTATTTCAGCATCCCCAAACCACAGAAGTTGGCAGTTTAATAAATAAAGTTTTAAAAAAGTGTTTATGTTAGGAAAATAAATAGTTTTGATGTTTTCTATACTCGCAATCGTGGTGGTCAAATCAGGGTGGGCGACAAAAATTTTATTTCATGAGCCCGCGTCTCTCCGCTGACTTTGACCACCAAAATCCGCCATGTTTTTGACCACGCGGCCGCGCGCTAATAATTTATACTAATTTTGTTGACGTTTCCCCTCCAGTTATTATAGAACTCAATGGGACAAACACTATATATTTCGATTTAAAAATGGCTGCCATCACGCTTCGAACATTGTATTGATGTCCTTGAGTTGTTCGCGGTAGAAATTGCACTTAAAGGGCAAAGCTATAACTTTTTAACGGTTTCATATAAACAAGCTATATTTAAGGTATAAAATATAGTTGAATACTGGCATTAAAATAAAAAATTTTCATCGTGGATTGCGTTTGAATTGAGACGTGCCAAATATGTCACATTGGTCATTTAAGTACCTTGAAAGGCATTATTGAAATGAAGTAGAAAAATTGCCATATTTTGTAATTATCATTTGTGTAATTATTATTATACATCTATGTATTCTCTGTAAATATTATTATTACAAATTAAATAATATCTATTATTACAAATTAATAATATTTTTCATAGCTTTTCTTAGTTCATTCAGTTGACAGTTTCATATGTAAGTATGCGAAGAAGTCGACAAGCTTATGCAGTAAATGATCTACTAGAGTTGATTGACAAAAGTGATAGCGAGTTTGAATTCAGTGATGGGGATTCTGAAGAAGAATACACTCTTGAAAATGACCAAGAGGTTGAAGGCTGTAGTAATATTCAGCAAGGAGAAAATAGTAGTGATGAAAGTGACAGTGGAGATATTGACAATGTCCCTTTGGTTGAATTACAAAAGCGGAAGAATTCCTCCAGCTCCTCTCAAAAAAAATATACATACAGATGGAGGAGCCATGGTTTTGATGCACCAGAAGTGCCTTTCCTAGGTGAGGAATACATAGTGCAAGATCCAGAGCCATCACCATTGGAACACAGCCAATGGGAGTGGCAAAGAGATGGAGCAAAACAGAGATAGTTAATGAGTATAACAAATTCATGGGAGGAATTGATCTTATGGACATGCTCTGCTCTCTCTATCGATATTCGATCAGGTCCCGAAGATGGTATTTGTACATCTGGTACCACACCTTGACAGTTGCCTTGGTCAACTCATGGCTTGTTTATCGCAAGCATCAGCAAAATGGTAAATTCATGAAGCTTAGCAAATTCCAAGCCTTGGTTGCTGAAGGTTTGTTATAGGCTGGGAAAAGCAGGAAAAGAGGTTGTCCATCAGACACCATATCTCCACCATTTAGAAAGCGACCAACCGCAGTACCGGTAGATAATGTGAGATATGATTGTGTCGACCACATGCCAGAATGGGACAATGAAAACCGGCAAGGCTGCAAGCTTTGTAAAAATAATTGCTCTTATATTATGTTTAAAATGTGCAAAGTTTACTTGTGTTTCAACAAGGAGAGAAACTGTTATCTGGAATATC